AATAAAAAAATAAATTTAAGGATCTCACCTGTGCATAAATTCATAAATTGAGAATAAAGAGAAAGTTACTTTGAGAATGGAGTCTGCAAAAATTGACAAATAAGCTTATATTTGTGAGCAGGATTGAATTCGGTCCACGTCAATTAACTTCATTAGTTGCGTAAGGCCGATGGTGATCGTTCTCGCTTGGAAGTCTGTGAACGCAGTTTTGACTCTAGGGAACTCATCCAATAATGGCGTCCAGGTCCCGTATAATGCGATTCTGTGTGTTTTCTCTTTAGGGAAATATATGCCGCTGCTGTGGAAGCTTTTCAAGTGTAGGTATCTCTCGGGAGCGGATTTTGTTATCGGATGCTGAGCAGTTCATGGATAGTTAAAATTACTTAACATCTAAGACTTATTACCTGCTTTTTAAGGAACAGCATACCTGATGTCTTGAAGACAATCTTCAACGTGTGAACAGGTAGTAGTATAGATTTTTCCAAACTGTAAAATTAACCAAAGACATGCAGCTTTCAGTTTATGCTGGATTTTGTTGCGACTATTTATTTTTTACCTTCGTTCCTGCTTCCGTCCTTCAAACTTTTTCTTTTGAGTGCTTCCCGCAAAGGTAGAGAGCTGTCGATCCACAAACGTTCACAAAGCACTTTCATTAGATGAGAAAAAATTCACCAGCCCATTTCGTGTCTCATCGACTACAATTTGGTCATCTGATTCCCTTAGTAGCACTCATCATCGTCGCTAATGATTCTCCGGCTATTCGAAGAAATCCCATTCTCCAAAAAATAACAACTGAGCGGCGTTAGGAAGTCAAGGCTAGCTTAACTACTATATTTTAGGGAAAATACTGCCACAAGTGCAATTACTACCGCATAGCAATCGGCAGCTTTCTGGTGGCAACCCCCGCGGAACATACCAGCAAAGCTCCTCGTTACCCAGTTGTCAGACTTTGTGTAAACAAATAAGAATAGAAGCTTCTAATTGAACTTTAGCCGCTTTTTTCCCTTCCGACACTTCAAAACTACGTATAGACGTGTTTGCATACGATAGTAGTTGTTCAATAGAATTCCTGTGATACTATGCTCACAAAAGACTTGTAAGGCAGAGGATCGAAGTACATATATCGAAGGCTCATGCTTCATCATGACTCATGCCTCTCTAAGGAGGAAGTGGGAAGAAAAAGGAGCGTGAGCGTAACGACACAGATCATGGTAACTAATGAGGAAATTCTAAGAATATTTAACGAGGAACTGTAACGATATCATCTGACCAGGACGACCATTTGATCGCTTTTTTTGCGCGCTAAGCACTTAAAGAGGAGGAATGAGTGCGTGGCTGATTGCTTGAGTAGGCGGATGCGAAAATTGCTCTCAACACATGCAAAACTCATGAACCCAAAGAAAAGCGATCAGCGAAAAATAAGGATTGTGAGGAACAATCCCACTGAAATTACAAGCGTTACCAAGCGAAACTGAACGAGCAAGAAAGAGAACGTTCCCTTTACAGTTTGCAAATATGTACAAGTTGCCAAACATCTGAAAAAGGGAATTAAAACTAATTAATAATTGATCACATCGAAATAATAAAATGAGCCAATGTTGCTACTCGGGAATACGCATGAACCATCAGAAGAAACGGTCAATGAAGTAACACATAGCAAAATACTGGAAAACAAATAAAAATCAATAATAATAAACAGATAAATAAGTATACATATCGTAAGAAGTATGTCAGAATAAAAATAACAAATATAAAAAAATAATGTCCATGTTGTACAGCTATCCAAAACCTGCTATTCAAACCTTCACTCCACTAAAAGCGTAGTCTAAAGGTACATGCAAAGGTCTATGGGATCAGGCTATGGAAAGAAACAAATTCGAGTGCATGGTTTAGAGATCGATCAGGGCCGACCAGCAAATCCCTCTTTTGCATTTTTAGTTCCCCTTTCCCAGGTCTTCAACAGCTTTTATTGCCAACTTCTTCAGCATTGTGATCCTCTATCCAAACCAGACCAGCCAGCATTGCGAAGCACATCAACTGCTGGACCGTGAATATTAGCCCAACTTGGCACTATTTACCCTTTACTGCCCCACTCCTCAAGAACTGAGCCGGATTTTGATCGAAATTCGTCCATGACTGTGGATTTGGCTAGAAACTTGTCTTCGGGGGTATTTCGACCCGTAGAACACGAATATCACATCGGTTTAGCGCGACAACGCTTGGCGCCGCGCCACAGGCGCCGGCGCTATCACAACAGTTTTGCGCGGGCAACCTTTCTAGCCGAATCCACAGTCGTGGACAAATTTCGATAAAAACCCGGCTCAGTTCTCGAGGAGTGGGGCAGTAAAGGGTAAAAAGTGCCCCCAACTTGGCTCTTGGTCTATTGCTCAACTTCATCAGAGGTGACGCATGAACTGTCAAAAAATATCTCCTTAAAACCCAGACCTACCCCTGATCATTCTGCTGAAAGTTTTGTGCTCCACACCAACAGCCGGAGTGCTATGTACATATCTGTTGAGGCGGAACAAGGTGGGTCAGTTATTGTGTGGGTGCGTTAACCCATTGCGTACCGCGTGCTGCACATGGTGCAGCACGCCACCACGCGGAGAAGGACAGTAATCTTGATTTTTTCAGCATTTTGTTAAGTTACAAACTCATCAGTTTACTTTTTTGGACACAGGATATATCACTTATTGGCATACTGGTTAAATTTTTGATAGGTCATCGGCCACTGATTAAACAGATGACAAAAACCTACGGAGGTGCAATTATAACGGACGTGTCCGCAATGGGTTAAAGTTTGTT